TACTAACTCTGGTTCGTTTGGAAGTTCCAGAAGAGAAATCGTATGTGAGGGCGCCCTTCTTTGAATTGAGTGTATTTATCCTCATTGCCATTTGTCTCGTGCTACGAGTCACAGCCGGTGTATAGCTTCGCATTCAACCTTGTGACCATTTACGGTTTCAAAATACCGCTTTATGTCCGAAATAATAACTTTGCTTTTTTGGATCATTTTGCGTGGGCGTTTTAGGTGGTGTTAATGAGAACGACAATATCATCGCCGTTGTTGTAAGAGCTGTAGAGGCAGCATCCGATCAAATCTTCACGACTTGACGATGATTAGTAGAAGAGCACGCGAAACTACACCACTAAATAAAACTAACCTAAGCCTTGAAAGTTAAATCTGTAACAAACACGTTAAATGTCAGAGAGCCGTTTGCACAGAACGAGAAGACATCGTATTTTCCCACTGTTCCTCTTTATATATATATATATAAAACAATGTTGTATATGTTTTTATCTATAAATCAATGAAGGGTTGGTTTTTGATTTTTCACAACACGCAGACGCCCACTGTGGAGAAAAAACCGAGATAACACATCAATAATAAAAACGGAACTAAAAATATATGGAAGCTTGCACCCGAGTGTCACGTGGCGCATTAGCCTCGAAAGACAGCCCAGTAAAATTAAAGCGGGAGAGTCGTCACCTGCGCATGCGCCAGATGGCCATAGTGTGTCATTGTTTACAAACAAGAGTCTACCCATGAGCCTTTGCGTTTTTAGCGTGTGTTGTTATCGTCGCTTGGGACTCAATTCCCGCGCGCGCGCAGGTGACAACCCCCCCCCCCCCGCTTTAAACGCAACCTCAGACTAGTAATACATTGTATAAATTGTTTTACTAGTCTGAGACGCAACTGAACAATGCTGTTTCTTAAACATTCCCTGTGAATTCAATAATGGAAAACAGAGCGCAAACTAGATGCTCTACCCGAAGCGTGGAAATGTGCAGACTGACGCATACCAGTACAATAACATGACGTGTCAACGTGGTATGGCGGGAACATACAGCGAGAGACGGGCTGGACAACCATAACTTCTGGTACAACGTAAAGTAGGCAATGAATCCCATTTACACTGTTTACAGTGTGACCAAACTATACGATTGAAATTCGGGTAATGAGAAAAAGAAAAAAAATATTGATTATAGTTTACATGCTGACCAATTGGCTCATATAGTCCGAGTGAGCGAAACCGCAGTTATAATATAGTAAATTAAAGAAAGTGAACATGACTGGGTGCGTGACTCGAATCGAGGCTCGCTGTCCGACATGACTTCTGCTTAGCCACCGGGCAATTACCTTCAACGACAGTAATTTGGCGTTCCCCGTTACCATCAACCCAAATTTGACTTCTGTTACACTATACTGTTGATATTTATTAATCAAACTCATGCTGTCCGTTTATTATTTTTTCACAGGTATCGAAATAGTATACAGCAATGGCTACCGAGAAGACACGTAAGTGCGATAACATTGCGTCTATTCGTGCCATGTCATGTCTTTCTTACCTTCATTAATTGCCTTTCTCTCATCCTATCAACAGATTACGAATACATCATAGTTGGCGCTGGTCCAGCCGGCGTCCAGATGGCCTACTGTATGGAGAAAGCTAAGATGGACTACCTAGTCGTGGAGCGGAATGACGGACCTGGTTCTTTCTTCCGAAAATTTCCCCGACACCGCAGTCTCATCTCCATCAATAAAAAACACAACTTCTTCCCGGAGCCTGAATTTAACATGAGACACGATTGGAACTCCTTACTCAATGACGATGAAAAGAACCCCCTTTTATTTACGAACTACAGTGACAAGTTGTTCCCAGATGCTGATGATTTAGTCAAGTTAGTATGTCGACAATTACACATTGTACGATAACATTTAATACAAACTCATATTCAGTCGTAATCCATTCAATTGTCATTTATTTTTCTCACGCAATGTTGTATTTTTTAGATACTTGGAAGATTTCTGTAAGAAATATCCAATGAATATACGCTATAACATCAACATTGAAAAGGTTCACCGAGACGAGATGAAAGACGGACAACGTTCCCAATCAAGGTTTACTATCACGGACGACGCCTCGGGCGAGACGTTCACTTCACGGGTGTTGCTGGTCGGAACTGGGTCATGCTTACCGCACACCCCAGAGGTACCCGGTGTGGAGCTTATAGACACTTACCAAGATCATACTTTAGACATAGAAGAGTACACAAACAAGAAAGTGTGTGTTCTCGGCGGCGGAAACAGTGCATTCGAGGTAGTTGATAGTGTATATACCAAGTCTATTATTATATACGTGTATTTCATCTGTTTGGTCTGCCACACAGACCTTGTGTATCCGTAGTTTAAGGAGCGGTGGTCGTCGCGCCTCGCATGTACGACATTTATGTTAATAACCATCGATTTTCCCACAATTCAATGCGCTTTTCTGATGAAATGACAAGTACAAGTTTTGACCTGGACACCACTTGTACTAATTACCACCGGAGACTCATCCGATATCTTTCAATCACCAACAAATCAACCAATTAAAGCTTATTGATCTCTCAGTTTGTACTCGTTGGTGTGCGCAACAGTCAAAGTCGCCATCTCTGTTTATAAGAGACCCATATCTCACGCATACGTGGCACGACGACCACTACCCTTTAATGACTACAGATGTTGCCCGTTCATAGTGGCAAGCCTTTCAGTAAAATCAGTGTGTCCTTAACCATTTCTATCATATTTCTAGGTGGCCGACCATCTCGCTGGATCGGCTGCTATCATCCACATATTCAATAAACACGATATCAAGTGTTCCTGGAATACCCACTTCGTTGGTCATCTCCGTGCTGTCAACAATAACATTATTGACATGTACCATCTGAAATCGCTCCACGCACTGCGTCAATGTGATGTCACTCGGGTGTGGAAAACAGAAGATGGCAAGTTTAGCATTGAATACAAGATGGATTTACCGAACTGGAACCCACCGGGCACTGGTCATTTCGTCACTAGTGGTTACGATAAGATTATATCCTGTACTGGATGGAAGTTTCTTAATATTGACATGTTCGACGATTCGTGCAAACCGGGTATGTTCTTTCATTTTCAAGTTGCTTGCACCGCACCTCCTAACTCACATTGTTTGTGGCCGCTGTTTTTTTTTTTTTACAGACTTATTGCAAATTTGACAGTCCGCCCTTCATCCGACAAAATCCCAGCAGATGTGCAATAAACCATTGAATAAATTAGTTGACCATATTAGGAATAGGATGGGTTAAGTTCATTGTTTATGTTTACGTGTTTGCGAGGGTTCACTCACCTTGTTTGTTTTGAATCAATCACGTATGTTGGGCAAAATATTGTCGATTTCAAGTTACAGGACGATTGAATTGACCCCAAGTAAAAGTGCGGTCAAGATTTGAAACACATAACTACCTAAATTAACTACCACCACCATTTCATGGAATCAGCGTATCGACTCGCAGAGACACACGTTAGACAATTCTTGAGTAAGTTGTTTGTTTTGAAGGGCGGTAGTTGTCGCGCCACGCATGCGTGAGATAAATGGTACAAACTGAGACGATACCAAGCTTTAATTAGGTATTTGTATGTGATTGGAAGGTATAGAAGGAGTCATCGGCGGTAATTAGTGCAAGTCACGCCCAGGTCAAACCTCATACTTGTGATTGCCATTAGAAGAGCGCATTTGATTATGGGAAAATCAAGGTTTATCAACACAAATGTCGCACATGCGCAACGCGACGACCACCGCCCTTTAAAGCGGGGGAGTCGCCACCTGCGCATGCGTCAGACGGCCATAGCGTGTCATTGTTTACAAACAAGAGTCTACCCACGAGTCTTTGCGTTTTTAGTGTGTTTTGTTATCGTCGCTTGGGACTCAATTCCAGCGCGTGCGCAGGTGACGACCCTCCCGCTTTAATTTCCGCATACTTCATTAGTTTATGAATCGTATACCTTGGCACATTGTGAAAATGGATAGAACATTTCTTTTTCGTTTTCTTACAGAAACACACGCGGACGGAAAATATCCTGTGCTCGACGAGCATTGGCAGACTACGGTCAACGACATGTATTTCATTGGCACACCCATGCAGTCACGTGATCAAAAGTCCGCGTCTGGCTTCATCCATGGTTTCCGTTACAACGTACGAACTCTATCTAGATTATTACGACACGCGTATGGTAATATCGAGCTCCCTAAGAAAGTCTTCAGTCCTATCGACCAAGAAGAAATCTGCAAGTGGATTGTTGGTGAGTTGTGTAGGTTGTGTTTTGCCCCCCCCCCCCTCCTCTCGCCCGGTCATCATCACAACTAACGGGGGCTATGCCATGCAATAATGTGTTACTTATGGCGTGAATCACATTACAAACAAACGACGTTCACCCGGCAACATGTTTTTAAGAATTTGCTATAATTACATATACCCAATTAACCTATCAGATTTAGGCTTAAAATAAAAACAAAAATGTTTGAAAATAATTCTAAAATTATTTGATGAGACATAATAAACAACAAATTTACATACTTAATATATAGTACCAAAATCTCTTGCGAGACACGACGTGAATCCATTTCAACATCAACTACTAACAAACATCATATATCAACCTGCATATTCAAAACCCTGATTAAAAAAAAAAAAAATTCCCACACAAAATACTCATACGTGTACCCATTTCAATTTCAAAGTGTGAGCCATACAGAAAATGGATTCAGAAAAACAAACAAATCATATTTCACTGATCTTCTCACATTCAAGTGTTTGAATGGCGATGTACCTGCACATGTTTCGAATTCTTTCATTGGTCAGAGCGATGCTCATAATTCTATGACACACTTCGCAAGTCGGCAAGATTGCCACGCCCCACAAAACCAATCTTAATAAAGGGCGTCTAACTTTTAGTTATCATTCTGCTAAACTGTCGAACTAAGCTACTAGAGGTAAAAATAAACTTCTGATATCCATGGTTTTAAAGTTAATCTCCGTGACTTTATTCATAAGAATCTACCCCGTGAACTACTTTTGTATTACTTTAGGTTTTTGATGCTTCTATTTTGTGTGCGTTATATATGTAAAAAAATTGTGTTTCCTTGTATTTGTTATTTTATAAAATAGACAGACAGACAGACAGACAGACAGACAGACAGACAGACAGACAGACAGACAGACAGACAGACAGACAGACAGACAGACAGACAGTAGGACAGACAGTAGGACAGACAGTAGGACAGACAGTAGGACAGACAGACAAACGCAATCAATCAATCAATTGCGAATAGACCGTATTTGAATACATCACCAATGTTTTATGGTGTTAAGAACAAAATGCACACGAAGAATTGTTTTTCTTTTCCAACTTCTATAAGCATTTTTATCTCCAAACAGATCATGTCAGTGTGGTATCTTCACTTTATCAAATGATACAGGGTTTTCTTTGTGACGTAATGGTGATCAATCCGGATAAAGTCGAATATATAAATGAGCTCCCACAAGCCTGGGTTAAAAAACAAAATTGGTTTAAGAGCGCCCCGCTAGCGATCATTGTATCTATTGAGGACACCATTGAAAAGTAAGCACACTGGGAAATTGTTACCATCACACGATGGAAACCTTACCTGTAGTCGAAGTCCATTCTCTAACACGATTTATTAGTTTATTACCCCAGACCATTCGTCCCGGTGTTATCGCTATCGCCACACGAGACTCCAGCTTGTCTCCTATACAATTTGACTGCGCACATCCAGAAAGTAGATGTAGCTGTGATTGGTGGAATACTAATGAGTTGAGTGTCAATCAAACGCCCACGCTATCTTTAGTAAACAAAGTCACGTGACACGCGCCATTTTAGTTTTGGCAGGCGATTTCAAGGCAGCACGCTTAACTCTTTCGTTCACAGGTTGGGAGATATTAGAATGACTGACAATTTCACGCCACTGTTTTACATTATTGGCGGATTTTTCTGCGCTATCAATCTTTCTCTTACAAACTAGACATAGATGAGACGACAGAGTCGCTCCTTTCACAACGTCGCACTGGATCAAATTGGAAAGACGATTTCCATAAGTTATCCCTCCTGCTTTTCCTGGCTTGAATAAATTCACACACGACTTTAACTGTCCACAAACTCGAAGACTACACGAACACAGTCTACAATAGTCGTCCGCAACAATATGTATGTATTTCTTCGGTGTACTGATGCACGAATGCACCGTGACACGGTGTTTCTCGGGTGTCGCCATCGCTGAGAATGCCGCCGGCGCAATTTTTCACCCAACTCGCGATTCTGTTTTGCAACATTTTATCAA